GTAATGAAGTTATTAAAATTAAAGTTATTTCCTCCATTAATTCTGATATTATCACAATATCCAGGTAGATTCATTTGTTAAATAATTTTATATTTATAAGCAAATTAAAGAAATATGTGCCAAATGCAAACCTACAATTTTCTTTGGATTAATTTCTCAAGAATGTTGTCAATGTGGAGAATATAAACTTAACGATTTAAGAGATTCTATGACAATAGATCAAGAAAATAAAGAAGTTATTCACCTGCAATATAAAAAAGATTTTCAAACGACACTTGGATTTGGTGCATTTGGATATGTATGTCATAAAAATAAAAAAAGAATTTTAATAGTATAACCTTACCATCAAATTTTTAGAAATTTTTATAATAAAATATCTTCAATATTAATTTTAAATATTATATTAATCTTTTGGAGAAATACATAATTGTCGAAATTTAAATAAATTTAAAGGTATATCACGCATATTTGAAGGAAAATAAACATTGTGTTGCGTTGAAAATTGAAAATAGTTCTGCTGAGGCAGATAATGAAATTATTGTTCTCCAATATTTTTCTAAATTGCCAGAAGAAGAAAGAACTTCCATTATTAAAATGATAGGATTGTAAGTTCAAAACGTACCTACAATTGGCGAGGGGAATAATAGATCCCTTTGCCAATATGTAGGTACGTTTCGAGCATATTTTTTCAGTAAGAAAGGACAAATAAAAACAAAAACCCCAGTGAATATTGTTTTGGAACTTGGTGGACTGAATTTATTAGCTTATTTTAGACAAAAAGTCGAAGAAGATTATAGTTATAAAAAGAGTATACATGAAGGAATTATAAAAAATATGCTTAAATGTGCTGCACTCGCAATTAAACAATTTCATAAACGTTGGTATTTTATTGAAATATTCGTAGTATGGAAGGGTAAATCCGAGAACTGAAGTACCCATACTTTTCTCGCTATGTTCCTTTTAATTTTGTACATTTAAGTAATTATTTTGTAAGAAATATATTTATTTTTAATATAATAATTGTCAAAAATTTAGATGGCATTCATTTGGATATTAAGCCAAACAATTTTGTTATACCCCATGGACATAATCTTGATGCTCCTTTGGAATTATGCAAATTAATAGATTTTAATTATTCTATTATAACAAAGGAAAATGAATTTCCAAACCACTAAAACGGGGCACAGCCACTCAAAAATAGGGAAAAAATAGGGCGAAATCGGTCAAAAATAGGGCAAAAAATAGGGAATTATTTTAAAAACGTAAAAATAATTAAAATTATAAATAAGTTATTACGCATGTTTTCTACTAATTTTAACTAAATTGAACAGGGACGAATGTCTCAAAAAAATCTCGATCTATTCTAAATTTTCGTTCGAGATCTCGTCTCGATCTGGTCTCTTGTTCAGAGATCCGATTTGCCACCGAAAATAGCGCAAAATCCCGTAGAGATACTTTCTTTTATCTGCCTCTAATAATAAGCCTTATCTCCTTTTTAGCGCCGCAGACGAAAATTTTTTCAAATTTTGAATTTTCAATAGGTCAGATTTCTTCCATTTTTAGCAAAATAACGAGAATTTTGAAAGCTTAAGAAGACAGAGGCAAAAATTTTGAGAAATTAAGATGGCCAAGAGGAGAGATTTCTTCTTTTTTCAGCGCCGAGGCGAAAATTTTGGGAAGTTTTAAGTCCAAGAGTCAGTTTTCTTTGTTTTTTCGAGTTTTTTAGAAACTTGCAGAAAATTTGAAAAATATTACAAAATGTTAAAAATAGGGCAAAATATGGCAAATTTATAAAATAGGGAAAAAATAGGGCGAAAAGATAAAAAATAGGGAAAATCCTCTAGAAATAGGGTAAAAAGGCCACCCTGATCCCCGGGCCAAATATGTAGGTACGTTTCGGGCATATTTTTTAAGTGAGAATGGACAGATAAAAACAAAAACTCCAGTGAATATTGTTTTAGAACTTGGTGGACAGAATTTATTAGCTTATTTTAGACAAAAAGTCGAAGAAGATTATAGTTATGAAGAGAGTATACATGAAGGAATTATAAAAAATATGCTCAAATGTGCTAAGCTATTAAACAATTCCACAAACGTTGGTATTTTATTGAAATTTTTGTAGTAGGGTAGGGTAAATCCGAGAAATGAAGTTTTCTCATTTTATTCCCTTTAATTTTGTGATTTATTTACGTAATAATTTTGTAAACAATTTTAAAACAATATATTAATTGTCTAAAAATTTAGATGGCATTCATTTGGATATTAAGCCAAACAATTTTGTTATACCCCATGGACATAATCTTGATGCTCCTTTGGAATTATGCAAATTAATAGATTTTAATTATTCTATTATAACAACTGAAAATAAAGTTATAAAGCAAGGAATATTTGGTACTGAACCATATGTACCTTTCAACTTTTCTTTAAACCATATGTTTGAAGTAAATGTATTTTTAATTAAATTATATTAAATAATTATATAGGGAAACATTCATGTTTATTTATTATAAGTAAATCAACTGAAATATAATTTTAAAAAAGCCTTGACTTAGCAGAATACTTTTAGTAATTAAAATTTTCCAAACTTGTATATACAAAACATAAAACTATAATTTAGTCAATTTCATAAAATTTAAATGTAAAATTCAATTTTTTTAGGTTTCTCGTAAAGTTGACATTTATTCATTCGGTGTAATGATTTACAAGTTTATGTTTAGCCCTCAATATGTTATGGACAAAATTGATAAAAAAAGTTTGGCCAAGGAAGTTTGGATAGACTTGCAAAGGTATTAATAAAGACAATTTATTAAAATCTATTAACTACAAAATAATATCTTAACTACAATAATTTTTGAAATTAAATTCTTAAAGAAAAGTAGAAAGAAATTTTAGTTTTGTTTAAACACTTAAAATATTATTATTCTTCATTCGAACAAAAAGATTACATTTCCTACATTACTTCCCCTTTATAAAATATTCTCTAATTTAAAAAAATATGAAAGTTGGTATCTCTCAAATTTTTTTTGAAAATAAATTTATTTTAAATTTAATTATGAAATTTAAGGTTTGTTTACAAAATAAACCTGAAAAACGTCCAAGTATTCAAGCCATTATAAGCTTCCTAGAGGATGAATGCCATTATTTTGGTTATGAGGACAAAGAACAACATACAAAAAACCAAAAATTGTGTCAGGACTAAAAGAAGAAAATTTCTATAAAAGATGAAATTTAAAGATATCTTTTATTTTAAATATTTACCAAACCTAAAAATTTTTCTTCGCGTTTTGATAAATTTGTATCCATTTTATTAAAGTTTGTGTCATTTAATAACTGCATGTAGCAGGGATGGCTCTGGACGACGAGTCCGGGGTTGCCTCTAAATTTATTATATCCCCCTTTTATCTCTCCATATCCATATTGATCCCCAGTTCTCTTAGTATCTTTCACAAAATCTCTTAATCATTTTAAATCAGTTTTGATCTTTTATTTTTTAATCAAGTGTCGGTCGTTAACCTTTGGATTAGTAAATTTTGTTCCAAGTAAGGAAGGCTTATTATTATAATTTATATTGATGAATAACAGGTCGGAATTTGAGTCTCTATTACTTGTTCAATCAAAAATTATCATTCAAACAATAATTAAGAGGAAAATTAATTAGTTTCATTTTTAAGCAAACTTTATTCCTTTTAGGATCAACAAACCAGGTTTTTGAGTAGTATTTGTTTTTAAATAACTGAATCGTTAGAAATATTCTTTATTATTTTTAGTATGGACAATGGTTATTATTACTAAAATCTCAGCAGCAGACGCTGCTGGTTAAACAAAAAGGGTTTTCCGCTATTCAATAAACGTTTAAATAATCATTAGATTGTTTGAAGATATCTTATTATAAAATATTTTTTATAAAAATAAAATTTACTCTTTTATTTAACCGAAACTACATAATCAAGGGTTCCTATTATTTTTTTAATTTATTATTATTTTTAATATGCCATTAATATATTTAACTGCCCCAATTAATGAAAATGATATAGATATGAAATTATCTCATTCTCCTTATAAATTTAATGAAAAAATGGTTGGAACTAGTCAAAAACAGCTTTTAATTTACGGAGATATTTGTAAGTAAATACGAGAGAAATTTAATAAATAAAAATAATCCATGTTATCTAAACAAATTTTTTTCGAGTTATACTCTTTTAAAAAAAATTTCAGTCAGTGTAGATAAACTTTTGCACCCCAGTGTATTTTGATTCTTTAATGAAGGTATTTACCGTATTTGCTCTAGTAATCCCCCAGGGGGATTATTGTTTCAACCCATCTCTAGGGTGGGGGATTAATAGAGACTGGGGGATTAATAGAGACTGGGGGATTATTGTTTCAACCCATCCGTAGGATGGAAAATTGTTTTGAAGATTGAAAATACGCCATTAGATTTTGGCGTTCTGAACGTCTTTTTCCTTCTAATGATGTCTTCATTTTTTCAGAGATTTTCTGATGTTACTTTTGACGCGGTTTAATTTCTACTTTTTTTTCTTTTAGAAAAATGACTTCAGATGCCATAATATTTGAAATTGAAGAAGTTGGAACGAGAAATAAACGACACAGAAGTAATGATGCTTCAACAAAGCTTCAAGCAATTGAATGGGCACGGACCCTTTCAATTACTTCTGCTGCAAAGAAATTTCGGGTGGATAGAAAATGCATCAGAGATTGGATTAAAAATGAAAAGAAACTGGAACAACAAATAAATTCTTCGCCGAATGGACAAAAACGTAAGAGACTCGAAGGAGGTGGCCACCACATTTTGCATCAGGATCTGGATAAAGAATTGGCTGACTGGGTGAAAGAGATGCGTGAAAAAAAACTTTTAGTCTCAAAACGTATAATACGCAATAAAGCAGTCGAGATATTCAAAAATACTGATTTAAAGGTTTTACTATTTTTTATTCTTTAAACATTAAACATTTAAGATCTCCGATGGTTGGCTGTCTTGTTTCATGAAACGTAACAGCTTTGTTCTCCGATGCCTCACAACAACTTGTCAACGTCCTCCTGGAAATTACATTGAGGCAATTGCAAAATTTATTGTTCATATTGAAAAGAGGCGAAAGGAGGTTTCTTTTTCTGAACTAATGGCAATGGACGAAACAGCAGTATGGTTTGATGATCCTGGTGGGCGTTGTGTCGATACGAGAGGTGTTAAAGATGTGAGTTTTTTTTCGTTTTTTAGCTATTTTTATCTTTAGGTGACCGTACGAACAACAGGACATGAGACAGACTGGGGGATTATTGTTTCAAAGGGTGGGGGATTAATAGAGACTGGGGGATTATTGTTTCAACCCATCCCCAGGGTGGGGGATTAATAGAGCCTGGGGGATTAATAAAGACTGGGGGATTAATAGAGCAAATACGGTATTTAATTCATAGTTTGAATTTGTAATAATTCCAAAAATTTTTATCTAATTAAAAAATCATAGTTTTTGTTGTGTCCGCAGTTGCAGAAATAACACAAATTAAAATAAATAAACCGTCATCGGTTTGGATGGTGGCACAGTCAGTTGCGCATCGGTCTGGGCTCATTCCATGATAGTTCAATTCCATCTCCCATCCAATGAATTTTTCCACAGCATGAACACGTAAATAATATTCTGACTTCCAGACCACATATTTCATTAAATCTGTGTTTTAAGTAATTTAAAGATACAAAAAATTTCATTAAGTTTTCTTCTTCAAGCGCTGCAATAGCTTACAATCAATTAAGCAAACATAAATGTTTAGGTTTATTTTTACTAAATATTAATATCTGATAAAATTGTGTTAATTACATCAGAAAATGAATTTAAAATTTAAAATAATTCTTTAATCATAATCAGATTGGAGAGGCTTTTGAAATTTTAATAATATAGAAAAACTGTTTAACAAATGAAAGGAGGAATGAATTTAATTTTTAAATTTATATATTTAATTAAAAATAAATTAAATTTTATTATGTTTTAAATTGTTTTAAATAAAAAAAAACATTTTTTGTCAATTTAAATGTTGCTACACGTTTCAATTTATTTCTATAGGCTATAATATTTGGCTCTGCTTCTCCATCACTATTCATTAATGAATTCCTTCCCTCGCTAAAGAAATCGAATTAAACAATAGAAAAATTTTTTATTGAATTTTAAAAATCTATATTTTAACTTCACGTTCATTAGCTCTCTTAATTTAATTCTCGCTCTACACTTTTTATTAAATCAGTCTTCATTCTGCGCTCCCACTTAGTATAATTTTTATATAAAAATTTTTTAAGCTCAACAAAAGTAATAATAAAAATAAAATTTTTTATAAATATATCATAATAATATATATACAGTAAAAACTTTAGTTAATATAGGTAAATTAAAGAAAAAGTAAATTTTCACTATAAAACTCCCACGTCTTCGCAATCTCCGTGTTATTTCCCGGCCGGGCAAACCAGAAAAATCCTAACGGATACAGAAAGATATACCTATATTGAATATATTCCAATAATATATTTTTATATAAATATCATATAATATATTTTGATATTTTTATATATTTTGAATAGAATAGTAATAAAAATTGGATCTAGCAATACATGGAGATCGGCCAGACGGCAAAATCAAATATTTGATCAAATAATTTGATAATTATCTGGTATTTGAAGAAATTTGATCAAAAAAGTTTAGATCAAATATAAAATTTTAAATTTTGTAAAACATACAAATCGGGGTTTTATAATCGGGGTATTAGATTTGGAAACGATATTCGAGAATTAAGATGGATGTGGAGGAATTAAGTATGATATAAGAGGTTTTGAGCGATTAAGTGGATATAATGGGATTTGGAGATATAAGGTGATATTGTGATTAGCAACTTAATCCAAGCATATCCCACTTATTCAATCGATACAAACTCAAATCCCACTATATCCCCCTTAATCCCATAATCCCTTCAAATCCGTATATATTCATCCTAACTACCCAATATTCGTCTTAATCCCCCGATATCCTCCAAATACCCTGATATTCTCTTAATCATAGCTAAATAACTTTTAGCCCCAAATCCATCGTATCCTCCTTAATCCACTAAAATTCCTCTTAAGCCTACCAAATCATCAAAACGATCTCCTCTAATTCCTCAATACCACTGTTAATTCCCAAAATCTCTTCTAAAATAAAGTGTGCTCAATCGTGCTGACTCAACTAAACTTTTCCGATAATGATAAATAATAAGTTATGCACATATAGCAATAATCTCGTTTATCCATATCGAAATTGTAAGAGAAATAGAAAAGTCAAAAATGATCTGAATTATAAAATGATCTGAATCTGAACCTATTTTATTTTTGTTTATTATTTAATTAACTGATTAATACCTTATCATATTACAGGATAAGTAATGAACTTATTGAAATTAAATTTATTCCCCCCATTAATTCTGATATTGTCACAATTCCCGGGTAAATTTATTTTTTTAATAATTTTTTATTTGTAAATAAATTAAAGAAATATTTGCCGAATGCAAACCTTTATTTGGATTAATTTCTGTAAAGTGTTGTCAATGTGGAGAATATAAACTCTTCAATTTAGGAAAATCTATGACAATAGATCAAGAAATTCATTTGAAATATAAAATGGATTTTAAATCAAAACTTGGAGCTGGTACATTTGGAAATGTAAATGAATCTTAATTTAATAATCTTCAGATTTTTATAATAAAATATCATAAGTTCAAAAACTAGATTAATCTTTTGATGAATTAGCTTGTAAAATTTAAATAACGTTCATGATATTTCGATAATGTATGCATAAAAAGTTTTAATTTAAAGGTATATCACGCATATTGGAAAGAAAAAAAGCAGTGTGTTGCGTTGAAAAAGCTTCAGAAAAATGAAAATAATTTTTCTGAAGTAGATAATGAAATTAAAGTGCATGAATATTTTTCTAAATTGCCAGAAGAAGAAAGAACTTCCATTATTAAAATGATAGGATTGTAAGTTCGAAACGTACCTACAATTGGCGAGGGGAATAATAGATCCCTTTAGGGTACACCCCAATGTACCGCGAGGCCAACGTACCGCAGAGTTATAATTTCGTTCAAAATGACTGAATCCGGGACGCCCTGATATGGTTAGATTTAGCCCGTCGTGATGCATCAAACCATAACAAGGCGTCCCGGATTTGACTATTTTGAACGAAGTTATAGCTCTGCGGTACGTTGGGCTCGCAATACGTTGGCCTGCTCCCAACCCTTTGCCAATATAGATACGTTTCGAGTATATTTTTAAGTGAGAATGGACAGATAAAAACGAAAACCAAAGTGAATATTGTTTTAGAACTTGGTGGACTGAATTTATTAGATTATTTTAGAAAAAAAGTCGAAAAACATTATAGTTATAAAGAGAATATACACGAAGGAATTATAAAAAATATGCTTAAATGTGCTGCACTAGCAATTGAACAATTCCACAAACGTTGGTATTTTATTGAAATTTTTGTAGGGTAAAACTGAAGAGTGAAATGCTCATACTTTTCTCAATTATATTCTTTTTTAATTTTGTACATTTATTTAAGTAATAATTTTGTAAACAATTTTAAAACAATATATTAATTGTCTAAAAATTTAGATGGCATTCATTTGGATATTAAGCCAAACAATTTTGTTATACCCCATGGACATAATCTTGATGCTCCTTTGGAATTATGCAAATTAATAGATTTTAATTATTCTATTATAACAACTGAAAATAAAGTTATAAAGCAAGGAATATTTGGTACTGAACCATATGTACCTTTCAACTTTTCTTTAAACCATATGTTTGAAGTAAATGTATTTTTAATTAAATTATATTAAATAATTATATAGGGAAACATTCATGTTTATTTATTATAAGTAAATCAACTGAAATATAATTTTAAAAAAGCCTTGACTTAGCAGAATACTTTTAGTAATTAAAATTTTCCAAACTTGTATATACAAAACATAAAACTATAATTTAGTCAATTTCATAAAATTTAAATGTAAAATTCAATTTTTTTAGGTTTCTCGTAAAGTTGACATTTATTCATTCGGTGTAATGATTTACAAGTTTATGTTTAGCCCTCAATATGTTATGGACAAAATTGATAAAAAAAGTTTGGCCAAGGAAGTTTGGATAGACTTGCAAAGGTATTAATAAAGACAATTTATTAAAATCTATTAACTACAAAATAATATCTTAACTACAATAATTTTTGAAATTAAATTCTTAAAGAAAAGTAGAAAGAAATTTTAGTTTTGTTTAAACACTTAAAATATTATTATTCTTCATTCGAACAAAAAGATTACATTTCCTACATTACTTCCCCTTTATAAAATATTCTCTAATTTAAAAAAATATGAAAGTTGGTATCTCTCAAATTTTTTTTGAAAATAAATTTATTTTAAATTTAATTATGAAATTTAAGGTTTGTTTACAAAATAAACCTGAAAAACGTCCAAGTATTCAAGCCATTATAAGCTTCCTAGAGGATGAATGCCATTATTTTGGTTATGAGGACAAAGAACAACATACAAAAAACCAAAAATTGTGTCAGGACTAAAAGAAGAAAATTTCTATAAAAGATGAAATTTAAAGATATCTTTTATTTTAAATATTTACCAAACCTAAAAATTTTTCTTCGCGTTTTGATAAATTTGTATCCATTTTATTAAAGTTTGTGTCATTTAATAACTGCATGTAGCAGGGATGGCTCTGGACGACGAGTCCGGGGTTGCCTCTAAATTTATTATATCCCCCTTTTATCTCTCCATATCCATATTGATCCCCAGTTCTCTTAGTATCTTTCACAAAATCTCTTAATCATTTTAAATCAGTTTTGATCTTTTATTTTTTAATCAAGTGTCCTTTGGATTCCTAAATCCAAAGGACACTTGATCGTTAACCTTTGGATTAGTAAATTTCGTTCCAAGTAAAGAAAGCTCCTTATTATAATTTATATTGGTGAATAACAGGTTGGAATTTGAGTCTCTATTACTTGTTCAATCAAAAATTATCATTCAAACAATAATTAAGAGGAAAATTAATTAGTTACATTTTTAAGCAAACTTTATTCCTTTTAGGATCAACAAACCTGGTTTTTGAGTAGTATTTGTTTTTAAATGACTGAATCGTTATTAATATTCTTTTTTATTTTTAATATGGACAAGGGTTATTATTACTAAAATCTCAGCAGACACTGCTGGCCAAACAAAA